AGTTACAGACAGACACAACACAGACGGTCTCGTGGAGGTTGCTAGGCTCCACGGTGCAGAGCTCCGGATGCTCTGGGTGAACAGGCCACCAATGTAGAAATCGTAAATACGTCTTATATTAGTCGCGCTCGAAGACGGGAAGAGGTGGGCGGTGGATCAGGCCGCCAAGCTCCTCTGGATCTCACACAGGGTCTCTATTACCCTGCCGTGTACCCAGAGTCCCCACGAGATGGATGTGGAGTCCTCTTCGGCTTGGGCGGAAACTGCTCAAGCCTTTTATACGGCTAACAGGCCAATCGCTAGCCGCCACGTGTGAAGAATTTAGCACTAGCCAATCACGGGGAACAAATTTGCATACCGGTGGCGGGAACTCTTTTGCACCGTGCATTCCTCTTGCAACTCGAGCAATGCACTCTGCAAAAGAAGCTGCAGAAAAGGCGGGAAACTGGTCCCTGCACCGGAGTTTCCTCTTGCTACAGGAAACTCCCGTGCAATGCTCTGCAACTTAACGTGGATAATTCTGATGCCGAAGCGCACACACACAATCACGCCTTTTGGGTCATGACATGCAGTAGATTAAAGTACAATCTGCTAGTAATGACAAATGCAGGTACTAGAAAATGGCACTTTAAACCATGGGTGACTGGTGCCTCTTGAGTCAGGGGGAGCATGTGCCCCCCGATACCAGTCAGTGACCTGGGGTGGGGGGGGAGGGGTGTTGATCTCACTCACCAAAAAGCAGCCACACCGCTTCTGAAAGTCCTGCAGCCACTCCTGCAGCTGCTTCTTAGAGTCCTTTCTCCTCTGGATTGTGTGCTCTGTTGCTGAAGGATTTTGATCATGATCCCCTGTGGAACCTAGTTTAAAGCCCCCCTTACTAGCTTGGCCAGATGATGCCCAAAGATGCTCTTCCCTGTTCTCTTCAGATGGATCCCGTCTCTGAATAGCAGTCCTCCTCCCAAGAATATCTGCCCATTGTCAAAGAAGCCAAAACCTTCACACCGACACCACCATCTCAGTCACACATTCATTTCCAAGATATGATAACCTCTGCTTGGACCCTTGCCTTCCACAGTAAGAATTAATGAGAACACCATGTGTACTCCAGACTCCTTAATCCTCCTGCCAAGATCCTCATAATTACCTCTGATCTTCTCAGTGTCGTTCCTGGCAGTATCATTGGTGCCTAATAGGCCTGCGTGAGTAGGCAGCTATTCGATTCGGCCTCGGATCCAGCTGCTTTGGATGCCAGGGATCTGATCCAGAGCTCTGGACCGGGTTCCCACTTTGATCCAGCTGAAGCTGCACCAAAGTTTCAGAGCCGCCTCGGAGATCTGGCCATAGGGTATAATGGGGAATCAATGAAATATCTATACATTTGTTGTTTTTGTCTGATTTGGATGAAATTTGCAGGGGTGCTAGCCTCTGCTGAGAGCATAAAGCCTGCCAAGTTTCAAGAAGATCAGTGCAGGGGTTCAGGGGAAACTGCACCCCAAATTCTTGAAAGAAAACTTGTGTCACGTCTATGTGTTACACCACAGGGGGGTGAAAACTGCAGGGGTGGTAGGCCCTGCTGGGGCCACAAAGTCTGCCAAGTTTCAAGAAGATAGGTGCAGGGGTTTGGGGGGAATTGCACCTCAAGCTGCAGACAAGCAAAACTCATGACATGGGTGACACTGTGTGTTTTAAGGTGCAGCAGGATGAAAGCTGCAGGGATGGTAGCCACTCCTGCGGCCATGAAGCCTGCCAGCTGTCAAGGAGATAGGTGCAGGGGTTCCCTGCACGCCTGCCAGCTGTCAGGGAGATAGGTGCAGGGGTTCCCTGCACCTCAACTGTGTATTGAGCTGGTCCCTGAGTGAATCATGATTGATTGGTAACTGGTAACACAGTAACTTAGCAGCCAGGCCTGCAGTAGTTCTACCCCCCCCAGACAGACACAGTTGCACAAGCACCCATGTCACGAGTTTTGCCTGTCAGCAGTTAGAGGTGCAGGACCCCAGAATCCAGAAGCCCTGCACCTATCTCCTTGACAGTTGGCAGGTTTTGTGTTCTCACCAGGGGCTACCACCCCTGCAGTTTTCACCCCCCCTGTGATGTAACACATAAACATGACATGAGTTTTCTTTCAAGAATTTGGGGTACAGTTTCCCCTGAACCCCTGCACCAATCTTTGTGAAACTTGGCAAGCTTCATGCTATCAGCAGAGGCTAGCACCTCTGCAAATTTTGTTCAAATCAGACCAAAAACAACAAAGTTATAGATATTTCATTGATTCCCCATTATACCCTATGGCCAGATCTCCGAAGCGGCTCCAAAGCTTTTTCAAAGCACTTTGGAAGTTCCAAACCGCTTCGGAAAGCCTAACGAAGCCAGTGCTTTGATACGGACATACTGCTTCAGATGCCAAAGTGTCCAAAACTTCTCCGGCTCCGGAGCACGGTCTGAAGCCTCGCACAGCCCTACAGCCTAAATGGACAAGCAGCAAGGGGAGTTGGAAGATACCCTACTTCTAGTACCCACCGCAGTAACCCAAAAGGGGTTGGGCTCTGCATCTCTCTGAATTTCCAGCAAGAGTATTCTAACCATCAGGCCACAAGCTAGACTTTACCAACTTGCTTCTTAAAGCTTGCCACTGCACCTTTTGTTTACTGGTCATTAGCTAAAATAAAGAGCAGTTTCTTCCCAGAGCAAAGGGCCAGCCTAGAACCTAGAGCCCTCCACCAGTCAGAACAGGTATCATCTCACTGAGCCACATACCCTCTAGCTTTAATTTTTCTTCCTGGCCACAAAAATCTCCCTCTCTTAGCTGCTGAGGGGGCCACTGCAAAAGGAGGCCTGATTTATACATGGCTTGATGGTTAGATCACTGCATTACAAAGGCAAAGAGAGCCACAAGCCTCACTCTAATTACTAAGGTTGGTCTAAAACAGGGTTGTTCAACTTCTATGCTGCTGTAACACACCCTGTGGGCTGCATCAGTAATTAGGGGCCTTGCCCCACCCCCCAGCCTTGTGGACTGTACCGTGATCTTCTCTCACTTTGACCAATTTGTCTGGCCTTGACTACACCACCATAGCCACTCAAAAAGCATTTTCCCAACTTCCCACTGTGCCATTGCCATCCCCCTTCTGTCTCCCTGTCACCTCTGCATTGGACACAAGCTGCTTCTTCTAATTTTTACACCTGCACAGTTAAGTTGCACTGCACCTAGAAGATCTGTTCATTGACCACACTACCAGCCCCTGCCTTCGGATTTTTTGTAGAACAAATAGTTTTGGATAATGGCTTTTTTTAAATGTCCAAATGTTTTATTTTGGATCGATTCAATGCTGAATTGTGTCTCCTGTGCTGCCACTGTACTTTCTTTATGAGAGTTGTAGTTCAGGAACCTTATTCCCCCCTCATTAGCCTATGTATTTGGTTCTCAATAAGACTACGTATCCCATGATGCACTACAGCCACAGGACTCCCATGGTGTACCATGGCAGCTCAGGTAGAGTGAAGACTAGCTTGCACCATGGGAGATACAAACATGCTAGGGAGCCTCCCATGAGGAAGAATAGGGGCATGAGGCATGGATATGTGATATGCATAAACAGGGCCTACCAAAATGGCAATTGCATGATTTTCGTGGAAACTGATTTTAGACGGGCTCTGCAAGAAAGCATGGGCTCCACACTTTTGGCAGGCTCTCTGAAAAAAAACAAAATTGACCCCCCAAAAAGGTCCTCATTGCCACTGTGGCCTGACTGCGCAGGGTGGTGTGCTGGCACGGCAAGATGGCTGCTGCCTCCACCCCTTGCTGCTGATGAGCTGCAAAAGCTGTCATATGGCACCACCCCTCTCCATTGATTAGTGTCAAGGGGCAGGGCCGCATGATGGACAGCCCTTTCAACCAATCAGTGGCAAGGGGTGGGGCTGTAAGATGGACAGCCCTTGCAGCCAGTCAGCAGTGAAGATGAGGCCACTGGGGCCCCTCAGCTAATCAGAGGTGCAGGAGGGCCTACCATGCTCAGCCCCTGAAAATGACTGCCAGCCCCAGGATCTGCACACAAAATCAGCTGGTTGTCACCTCAAATTCAATAGACCCCTACCCATAAAACAGAGGCATCTCCTATGGACCCAGATTAATGTCAGACTGACCCAACATAAACCTGTTTGATTTGGGAGACTGGATACAAGAAGAATAGTTTTCCTGAGTGAAAACTAAAAAAAAAAATAAAAAAAAATGGCAAAATTGAAATTTGCAACAACAAAAAATAATCTATTTTGTAGAAACTATATCTTCAGTTGGAAAAATTTCTGCCCAGCTTTAGTCACCAATTTTGTATCATATCATCTCACATATCACATCACTAAAAGCTGACAAACACTTACAGCCCGCAGTGAGGTATGTATTTCACTGTTGAGATTGAGGTTTCTAATCTCGATAAGATGCATTTTGCCCTCTGCAGAAATGTTCCTTCACTACAGAAGTGGAGTTATTTCCTTTGCATGTTTTGCTAGACTTACAAACCACACCCCAGAACAAAGTGAGCTGTTCCTTTGTGGGCAAACCTTGCACAGTCAGGGGGAGGGCTGGGCTGGGCTGGGCTGGTCTCCTAACTGCTAATGGTTATCCACCCTCTCTGACAGGCAAAGCCGCACTGCTGTTCTGAAAATCCTCTCTCACTCATGTTCTCTCGATTGCTCTCTCTTGCTGTCTCTATTTCATGCACACGCGCACACATCACCTGGAAAGTATGCAGGGTAGCTGGAAATGTGCTAAGTCACCTGACACTTTTCATTTGATTCTCTTCTCTGTGCACAGCGTGAGCAATCAGTTCCCCGTAACTGTGGGAGCAACAGTGAACCTTTGTTAAGAATCATCTAGCTGTGGATATTGCTTTGCCTCGCTGAACCCATTCTTGATCTGGTTGTCTGATGCATCTTCTTACCTTCTGTTCCTTTGCTTTTCCAAATCCCTCTTTTCAAAAGGGCAGTTTAGTTCTATTTTGACAATGCTTTCTAAGAAGTGTCTGGGATTTCTTTATTCTAGTCTCTATCTGTGGGCGTACGTCTTCCTGTTATTGATTAAAGGTAGGTTTCTTTTTATCCTGTCTAAGAGATTGTTTAACCACTTCTTGCCTCTAATTTCTTGGATACAACTTGACTCAAAGTTTTTAACTATTCTTTTTTAACTAAAAATAACCTTCATGTGTAAAAGCCTTAATACAATAAACATGTTATTGTTACTAAACTGAATGTAAGGAAAGCTAACACTATGCTAGTTTTATCTTATATATTCTTCATGTTGGTCTGATGATGGAGCAAGGAAATGCCTCTAGCATCTGGCGAAAAATAAGAGCTATAGTTAGTATCACACCAGTGTTGAAAATAGAAGGGTCAAGGATGTAGTGTTCGGTGCAGGTTTTGCACTAAAATGTTTTAAAGTAAGATATTGCTCACTGATTTTTTTTTTTGCTTCAGTTATGTCATACTGTGTTTAAAAAGCATTTAAGCAGTGTTGCAGCACAAGTATCGTGGAGTTTCAGAGGGACTTATGCTACTAAGTTACACGGAACAAATTCCTGATTTCCCTTGGGGGTTTCTCTCTACCACATCAGTAGTGGGTCTCGTGGGGACTGAATACATTTCACTTCTAAGTCCACTGATATGTACCAGACCCAGAAGCTTGCCCATGAACCTGCTTTGAATTCTTCCCCAGCACCTACTCTCAGATCCAGCAGAGAGCAAGGGCTCACATGTAGGCACTGGGGACAAGTCCAGAGCAGCTTCATGGGTAAGTGTCCAGATCTGAAGCATGCCAGTTGACTCGGGTAGGTGGGATATGGATGGGGCATGGTTAATGTTCTTCTCCCCAAGAACTACTGCTGTGGATGTGCAATAAATAAGCCCACAGGCATCTACACTTAGGGTTCCAACAGCTAAAAGTGAGGCACCTTGCCCTGGGTGGGTGATTCAAAGGAACAGGCTTCCCATATAGCTGATGAGGAGAACTGGTTCCACCAGAGGACAATCCTAAGGATCAGAAGCCAAGTGGGAAGCTGCTTAGAACCAGCCAAAAGCAATCATTAAGTACAGGAAGGTGTCTGAACTCCCACATCCCTCTGTTCCTAACTCCTGGCTGCTAAGATGCCTCCATTCACTGGGATCTAGTGAACCAAATCCTCTTCTGAAAGCAGGTGTCTACCTGCTGCTGCCCACTTTTTGCCCAACATGTTACTGGTTAGAGACTCACACAGAAAGTGGAGGACCTGGGTTTCAGGCCCTCCTCAGCGTGAAGAGGATTTAAACCCACGCCTCCCATTTCCTAGAAGGCTACCCAAGCCACCAGGCTGTAACATAGTTGGGGGAAGCCTCCTGTCCCCCTTCTTGGGCCACTGTGCAGCCAAAAATTTTAAAAAATCATGGGCTTGGAGAGAGAGAGAACAAATGAGATCCTAACTCTGTAGTTTATGATGGCCCATGATTCATTTGGAAGAGATCCCTGTGTCAAAGACTAGGTATGAATTTTTGCACTGGACAAGAAAAAAAAGTACTCCTGGGAGCACAGACCAGCTCTCGGGACTCCTCCTGGTCTCTCTCTCTGTTACTGTCTTGCATTCCTTTCTCCCAGTGGCCCAACTTCATATGCTTTTATGTATCCTGTTCGATATAGTCTGATCACTGGAGACCTCTGTCAGATGGTAAATTATGTGAATTTCAACCCCCTTAGGTTGCTGGTTGTGGTGGTGGGGATAAAGACCCCAGGTTTCTCATTTCCTGAATGGGTGCTGTAACCAATAGGCACTGACCATACTCACCAGATCGTTGTAAGGCTGACTGGACCATAGAATCATGCTAAGTCAGAGGGTTATTGGACTGAAAGCCAAGGTCAAAATCAGGTATCAGTCCAATCCAGAATAACAAGCCAAGAATCAAGATGAGGTTGTGACCAGGGCAAGTAGTTGATTCAGACTGGGAGGTCCAAGACAGAAACAGGTGGGAGGGTCTAGAGCTAGAGGTCACCCATGGAGTCAGGTTTAGGAGTTCCAAGCAGGCCAGTGGCATAGCACTGTGCATAGTGCCCAGACAGCCTGCTGCTGTTTGGTCTGAGTTTATAAAGTCCCCCACATCACACCAGGTCACGGGCAACCAGGTCTGAGAGTCATTCAGGGTCTGCGGGAGCAACCAGAAACAGAAGAAGTATACAGAATCTGACTATTGGTGAACCAGGAAGTCTAGCTAATTGATCTAGGATGTCCTGCAGCATATCATTAATAAAGTGCTAGAATGTTTTGGGAGCATTGGTGATCCCAAAGGACATAACTAAACATTCAAAGTGTCCGAACTATGTCCAGCATATGCTTTTCTGTTCATCCCCAGCTCTGATCTGCACAAGGTTATAGGCTCCCTGGAGGTCAAGTTTAATGAATATGCAGGCAGTTTTGAGACTGTCAAGCAGCTCTGGGATGAGAGGCAGGGGTTACTGGTTATGAATGGTAACCTGGTTCAGGGGCCAGTAATCAACACAGAGGCAGAGACTTTCATCCTTCTTCTTGACAAAGAGGACAGGGGCTCCAGAAAGTAAGGTGAATCTTTATATGAATCCCCAGGCCAGGTTATGGAGGGTGGAAAGTTCAGGTTCTGAATGACATAATTACACCCTGATGAGATCTTTGGTCCGAATTACAGGTCAATTGGGCAGTCATAGTCTTCATGTTGTGGGAGAATTTCCATATTTCTCTTCTCAAATACATTAATGAATGTTTTATATTTCTGGGAAAGGCTGAGTGGAAGCAGCATCCATTGGAGGCAATCATAGTTGGGACCCCAGCTTGAATCCCAGGGTGTGCTGCCACCCTAGGCTTCCAGCAGTACTGGTGACAGGGGCTGGAATTTTGGCAGATCTAGGCTTTCCACCTGACCACGTGGTCATGGTAGGTGAGCCAGGAGAACCCCAAGATGAAGAGGTAGTACAGGGTGTGGATTATCCCAAAGCACAGCATCTCCCAGTACCTACAGAAGTTCATTTTCTAGAGTAGTAGTTTCCCACTCCATGGGTCCAGATGTCAGAGAGGAGCCACCTATGGTTTCAGTTGTCTCAGGCTTGGCCTTTCGCCTCAGCTGCCCAAGGATCTGGGATGTGGATGGATAACAGCAGCTGAGGGCTTTGTATGTTGCATTAGTGAGAGGAGCTTGAGGTGGCTCATTCCTCTGGCTCCATCTCTTAGGACAACTGGTGAGCCCCAGGGCCCTACAATAAAGGCACAGCTCCAGCTGCTGGTGTCACTCTTGTTCTTCAGGCATAAGGTGCCAGTAGCTCTCAACCAATTGCCTTGGCTCAAGAGTACTTGCAGTAGGAAATGGCCCATAGGAAGTCAGGGAGGCCTTCTCCTCCTCCTTCTACTCCTTGAGAAAGGGCGTCAATCCCGATTACCAAGTCTACAAATGCATGAAACCCTGGGGGCAGTTCCATCTGAGCAAGCTCATCCTTTATCTCCTGCTGCAGCCCCCACTAGAGCTGATAGCGCTTCAGTCCATTGAATGTCCACTGTGTGACAGCAGAAAAGGGAGCCATACACGGCAGAACAGCCCTTTCCCTGGAGCAGATTTCATCCGACAGTCTCTGCCATCTAGGTTCAGTGGTGGGGTCATCTAACAAGATAGAAAACTCCCTGAGAAATGCTTCTCTGTCCTGTAGAACAGAACTATTGTGCTCCAGCAGCAGTGAAGCCCAGTTCAGGGCATCTCCCATTAGGAGGCTGGTAACCAAGCTCACCTTCACTGGGTCCCAGGTAGGCTCCAGCTTGAACTAAGAAGAGGAGGCAGAATTGCATGAGGAACCCCCTGAAGCACTGCCGGTTGCCACTGTATCTCTTGCATAGGGGGAAGGATGTGCACGGTTCCCTGGAATGAGCCAGTAGCACAGCAGCTCACTACAGAGTTGGCAGATCTTGTCACAGCAGTGCTGGCTGACCTCATGCTGGTATGCAGCCTGTGATTGAAGGGACTGGTTCTCTGTCAGCAACTGCCGCACCCAGGCCTCCAGTACATGATAGGCAGAGGCCAGCTGATCTAATCTGACCTGCGGTTCTCCCCAAGTGGCAGTCATTGAGGCAGGCAGGTCCGGGGCCCTGGCAAGGAAAGAGACTCTATGCCATTCCCCCTTCACTGAATGCAGTCCAGGCAATTTATTGCACCAGGTCATGGGGTGGCCAGCTCTGGGAGTCACTCAGGGTCTGAGGGAACAACCAGGGACAGAAGGACATGAATGTTGGGGAGCTGGGAGCCATACAGAACAGCAGGGTGGGGGGAGGGTACACAGCATCCTGAGATGCTGGAGGGCTAAAAATATAGATGGTTTATCTCTGGGAAGTGGCCACATATTCAGGGAAGATGAGCTGGGTCACACAGATCAGAAATAAACCTGCTCTGGAGTGGCATAACTTAAAGATTCCTGAAGGGTGCTTAAAACTAGTTTACACATCTTACTGTATAGACAATCCAGGGGTTAAGAGCTCCCTGAGCTGCCTAAAATTAATATGTAACAAGGCCCTTAATAATTATCAGGAGTCTATATTTGTGGAACACTACCCTGGACTTCCTCTGTATCAATATCCTCTTGCTATGGCATAACTCAAAGGAGAATATGTTACCTTGTTTTATAACTGAACCAAATTTTAAAAAATGAGTGAAAACATGGGAGCTGAGAAAACCCCAAATGCTTGCCTGGGTCAAAAAATTACTTCAGTTTACAGATGCAGGGCATCAGCCATTGAAAACCCATTAGGTATATTTGTCTGGAATATTTCAAGCAAATTGTCATGTTCTTGGGCCCATTCCACTCTCTGCTCCTCTTTAAATCTCGGACTCCTTGCCTGGTAAGTGTGGGTTTTTTCCTCTTCATCTGCAGCAAATGTCAGAGGGTTGGGAAACATGGGCTTAGCCCAAGAGTCTTTGTGCAGACTCTGTCTGCCCCACAGACAGTACACAGAAAGCTTAGCTCCCTGATACAGTGGGACAGGTGATGAAAAGGAGAGCTGTGTGCATTCATTTTGTCATGGCCACAATAAAGAACAGGCAAACATCAAGGACATGCAACAAAATATTAAGAATGATAATTTCTTCCACCCCCCCCCACCCTTCCCGCCATTCCTAATTGCCAATATTTTAAATACTTACACTGTCTGCGAAACTCCAGGCCACTTCCTTTTCACCTTTGAGGGAGAAACAACATTTTAAAAGTTGTACGAAACCATGGGCCCATGACATGATGTTACTTCTTTAAATCAAGGTTGAGCATCTTTCTAAAACTGCTCAGTCACAGCCCATTGGGCAGGATGGCAGAAACTCAAGGTGAAATTCTAGTCTGAGCTCTACCAAGGGTTAGACTAGAGGATCATGAATATCCCTTCTGTCCCTAAAAATCTCCACAATCTGGGAGGTGGATAGCAGGTACATCACTGAAACAAATATGTTAGGATCTGAACAGTGGCATGCCCCCTACCAGTTGCTTTAGTATACCCACATGGGTAAAATTTGTCTTTGTTTAGACAATTTACATCTCTGGCTACAAAATACAGCCTTGTCAGTTTGGATTTGCTCAATGTGAAGAGCAAATCCTAAAACTTTTTGTTATGAAACATGCCATCTTGGAGTGTTAGAGTAATCACTTGAAATATCCTTTCACCCAAGCAGGATAATTTCCCATGAAAGTGCCTGAATACCTGCAGGATTTAAAGTTTCACTTTAAAACAAAAATAAAATGGTCTGTAGCCCTAAGAGATGCCAAGATCATTCTGAGAATGTGAATTGAGCATAACTGATTCAGAACTGCTTTCCTGAGCCATGCCTCTAGTGCCTCTGCTGCAACTCAGAGCTTTTCCAAGCTGCAGCAGAGTGAACAATAGATAAAATCTTGGCAATTCTGGCTGCTGCTGTTGAGATGCCTGTGGACAGCTGGGAAATTGACTAAAATTATTTTTGCTTCTCTCTGCAAGTGTTTGTGAAAGCTCTAAGTAGCTTTATATAGAAATATGTATTATATACATAAAGTAGCACTAGCGACTCTAACTGCATATTAGCAGTGTATGGGAGATGGAGGAAACAATGGAGGAGGAAGACTGGACAAAGGATTTTTGATGTATGAATTTTGCATCTTAAAAGGCAGCTTCATTCAAATTAAAACATTTCTGGGGAATCAGTTGGTTTTCATAATTTTATTACCAAATCAAGATGATTTGTTTAGACCTTTTCATTCTGTTCTCATTATGCTGGAATGTTTGATAATGTCAAAACATTTCAACTTTATCATATTGATTCATTTTAATATTGCATGAAAGGGAGACACAGTATATTTAATATTTTAGACCATATTGTTCATCATTTGGTCTTGCCCCTTTGCTCAGGGTCAGACCAATGAACATTTCTGGAGTCAGGAAGCAATTTTACTCCATAAACAGATTGGTACAGACTGTGGGGTTTTTTGCCTTCCTCTGTAGTTCTGGGGCATGGCCCTCTTCCTTGGATCTCTCAAGGGTATTTTAACAACCTTTGCAGCAGCAGGACTTTGACCTCCCTGGTTCCCCTGCTTTACTTGTGGCAGATTAGGGTATTATGTTTTGTGGTTGTGTTGGAGTTGACTGTGTAGTTTTGCTAATAAATTAGAAAATGGATTTGTATAACATAGTTTGGATAGGGATGATCCTGTCTCAGGTAGGGGGCTGGACTAGATGATCTCTGGAGATCCCTTCTGTTGGCTTAGAAACAGTATTTAAGGGCCTGTTGTTTTGGAATTGGCTTATAGGTATAGATATATGCATTATAAGGGTTCAAGATGGGCAGCAGGGGTTAATTGATTAGTAAGAGCATGGGCTTCACACACAGAGCTCCATATAGCCCTGAAAGCAGATGGACTGTCTAGCCCAACAAGGCCAACGGATGGACACAGCCTGAGAATTGAGGGGGGCATGCCATAACACGAGATCACAGCCTTCAAGGCAAACAGGTTGTCTAACACAACAAGGACACAGCCTGGGAACTAAAGAAGTATGTACCATACTGTCCCATAACACAAGATAAGTGACACCAGCAACAAGGCCCCAGAGCAGCAGGGGGGCTGAGTCCCGGTTTTGGGGGAACAGACCAAATTAGGAGACGGCCCGGAAGGCTATGTGGACGCGTGACCACAGACAGACAACCAACCCGAGATAGCCATGGATGAAGAGTCATCAGGAGTCATCAAGGGGGAAGGAGACTACAAAAGCAGAGCCTTGATATTAACAAAGGGTCCCTTCCTTTGTCCCGTCCTTCCCTGTCCCTCCTTCTCTTCCTTAAGAGGGGTTCCCATCCCCATCCCTGTCCCCTGGGAAGGGTCCCTGAAGCCACCATGGACTGAGGGTATACCAGCAGTCTGTCTCATGCATCCCACTGGAGGGGGGCTGTGGGCCTTGGCATCCCACCTCTAAACTGATGAGACCTAAGACAGAGAGCCTCAGAGTGGAGCCTGCATCCTGACCAGATGTACCGTGACCCTGATGACAGCCCTAGAATTGGTAGATATAGAATTGTTAGATTGTTTGTATTGTTGCTTTTTTGTTATCGCTTTGTACCAATAAATTCACCTATTATCAACTGGCAGGTGTTGTGGTCAGTCTGAGAGTTGTGCCCGCCCGAAACAGAGGAATAAGGGCTGGGTTCCTAAAATCCAGTGTCAACACTTTCCATCCCTACTTCTCTATGACACTCTTATGATTGAAACCAAATGTTAGATAGCCCTAAACCATTTTATGGGGATGGGATTTTCAATCTATGGGAAATTTTGTAATTTGGGGTTTGCTTTCTGATTCAGCATGAAAAAATTCAAGATGTCAGAATTTCCTGCAGAAGAGAAATTACCTTGCTTGACAAACTGAAGTTTAAAAAAAAAGAATAATAGTTCCCAGCTTCAATAGAGGCATAGATTTTGGTGCCAGAAGATATCATTATGATTATTGAATCTAACTTGCTACAAAGAGAAGCCACAGAATTTCATTCAGTATTCCATACATCAAGCCCACAACTTCTGAGTTACTGCATGTATTTTAGAAAAATACCCAATTTTGATTAAAAAGTCAAATGATGCCTAATCTAACTAGATAAGTTGTTCCAATAATTTAATTACCTTCTCTGCTAAAAATGTGCAAGTTATTTCTATTCAGGATTTGTCTAGACTTCGTGTCTACCCACTGGATCATTTGCCCATTAGATTAATAAGCCCTCTTCTCTCAAAAAAAAATGTGTTCACAGCAGTCATGGTTCCCCATAAGTGTGCACTCACTAGTGGAGACCGAGCTGGGGATCCACTGAAAATCAGGCCTGGTATAGAATCATAGAAAAGTGGGGCCCGAAGGGATGTTAGGACATCACCTAGTCCAACCTCTGCTCAAGGCAGAACATCTCTACCTAAACAAGTGTTTATCTAACTTATTCTTTAAAACTCCAGAAATAACCCTCAAAGCGCAACTACCAGGCATAACATGACACCAAGAGGACTGAAAACACCCTTTAGCTTGCCATAAGTAAAGAAGGAAGATGAGGGCACCATTTACGTCCTACCACTGCAAAGAAAGCAAGCAGCTTGTTAAAATATGCCCAAGAGATCCAAGGACACTATCCAACATTTTTCCTTCCTCTTTAACTCCTTGTTCTTTTTTGTCCATTCAGGTTGCTCATTGTGTGAATCAGAAGAACGATTATTCCATAAACTCTTTTTCCATTACAACCATTTCATCAGACCAGTGGAAAATGTGTCTGATCCTGTAACAGTGCATTTTGAAGTGGCAATTACACAGCTTGCAAATGTGGTAAGATTAATTACCCAACCCTAGTAATATGTGTAGATGCAGATTTTTAGGGAAAAACACCGGCTCACTTGCATGCACATGATTTGCACACACCATTGCTACAGGTGCAAGTGTAATCATAGTGGTTACACATGCAAATACTAGGGCTATTACTGTGAGATATGTGAATGTGTTGAATTTGCACATATGAATCTAAAGTCAGTTCTGTTGAATCTGCTAATGCCAATGCAGTATAGTTTTACTTTATGTTTCCAATATATTCTGTGCCTGACAGTCTGGCAGCACTCTTCCTCACATTTGTGGTTGGTGTTATTTATTTACGAATGCCTTGGACAAACATAACAGTTACCACAATTCTCTCATGCATATGAGTGCCCTAACTATTGTACTACAGTATCACGCTCCTTGAGCG